ATTATACTATAATAAATCATTCATATATGTGTGTGTGTGTGTATACATATACATATACATACACATACATACATATATACATATGGTGCCTAAGGCATTTGACTGCTAACCAGAAGGTTGGTGGTTCAAACCCACCAGTCGCTCCTCAGAAAGAAGGTTGGCCAATCTACTTCCATAGTGATACTGCCTCAGAGACCCAAGGAGAGGTCGCTGTGAGTCAGACCCGACTCGACAGCAGTGAGTTTGGTTTAGTTTTTAGTTATATGTATATGTATACATATATACACACATAATAATATCTACTGAGATGGGTACTTGCCTACCTGCTAATGGAAGTCAAAACTGGCAAGGGCCATTAGTAAAGCCATTTGGCAAGAAAAAGCAAAAACCTTTAAAATACCCATATTCTTTTGACCCAGTCATTCCAGATCTAGGAATCTAACCCCAACCAAAGAATCCTAAACACATAGAAAAAACTGATCCATAAATATGTTCCTCAAAAAAGTGTCATTTGTACTAGTGATGTAGTGTAGTACCTAAGGCATTTGACTGCTAACCAGAAGGCTGGCAGTTCAAATCCACCAACCACTCCTTAGAAGGAAAATTGGGCGATCTACTTCTGTAGAGATACTGCCTCAGAAGGGGCTGGGTCCATATGAGTCAGAATCAACTCAACAGCAGTGAGTTTGGTTTTTGGTTTTTTGGTATTTGCTTAGGTATCAGGGAGTGATTGTAAAACTTTTTATGTATAGCATGTAATGATGTCCTGCCTTTTCCAAAAAGGGATTTAAGACAGTATACTGCCTTGGAGGAAACACACCAAACTGTTTAAATGGTTGTTTGTGGGTGGTAAGGCTAGGCAAGGTATCTTCCATTTTTCTGAAGTCCACAAGTTTGCTATGACAAAAATGTATTACTTTCCCGATTAAGGAAAAATAAAAAGAACTTATCTTTAGATACACAGTCAATACTACCACCAGTTTTCTTTCACACACCTGCTGCTAAGAGAAATTTCTCCCAGGGCTCCTGTCTTCCAGGAGTCCTGGTGGTGCAGTGGTTAAGTGTTTGGCTACTAACTGAAAGGTCGACGGTTCAAACACATCAGCCACTCTGTGGGAAAAAGATGTGGCAGTCTGCTTCTGCAAAGATTTATTGCTGTTGTTATTGTTGTTGTTATGTGTCATCAAGTCATCTCCGACTCATAGTGACCCCTCCTTGGGTTTCCAAGGCAGTAACACTATGGAAGTAGATTGCCTAATTTGCCTTCAGAGGAGTGGCTGGTGGATTTGAACCGCCAACCTTCTGGTTAGCAGTCAAGTGCCTTAGGCACTACACCACCAGAGCTCCCGCAAAGATTTATAGCCTTAGAAATCTTACGGGACAGTTCTACTCTGTCCTATAGGGTTGCCGTGAGTCAGAATAAACTCAACGGCAACAGGCTTGCCTGTGAGGGCAAAGCTTCATTTTGACTAAAAACTAACTTCAGCAGGAAATGACACTGTGAGAGAACCAGTGAGTCTCCATTGAAGAGAACAGTTCTTTGCCCTAAGAATCTGCTGGCTGCTCTTTGCCTGGTTGTAAAGAGAGCTGGCCCCAACTGTAGCCAGGTGACAATGACTGTAATTCAGGAGCTTCCACCAGACTTATACCTTTAAACCAGAGTGTAGCATAATATTCAGAGCATGAGTGTGAACAGGAGAGAACTGGGTTCCAGTCTTTGCTCTTGATTTCATTGGTTCCTGCTTACATTCATCTATACATTCAAGTAAGTACTCCTCAAGCACCACTGCAGCCAGACCAGAGCCAGGAGCAGAGAATACAATGGCAACCAAAGCAAAGGAAGCCCTTGCCTTCAGGGAGCTCAGAGTTTAGTGAAGGGAGTGGGGAGCAATCAAATAAGCACAGATCAGCATCTGTTCACAACTGTGCTGATGCTGTTGTGAGCTGCCACTGAACAACCAATGTCTCTGTACAACAGAATGAAACGTTGCCTGGTCCTGTGTCAGCATCGTGATCACTGGTATGTGTGAGTCCACTGTTGCAGTTATTGTGTCATTCCATCTCATTGAAGGTTTCCCTCACCTCTGCTGGGCCTTCATTTTACCAAACATAATGTCCCTTTCCAGTGATCAGTCCCTCCTGATGATATGTCCAAAGTGAGTGAGTCAAAGTCTCAGACGATATTCTGTGATCCATTGGGTTTTCACTGGTTAATTTTCAGAAGTAGATCTCTAGGCCTTTCTTGAAAGCCTTAGTCTGGAAGCTCCACTGAACCTTGTCCACCATGGGTGACCCTGCTGGTATCTGAAATACCACTGGCATAGTTTCTAGCGTCACAACTACTTCCAAACCATCACAGTAAGACAAACAGTAAAGTGATGGAACGAGGGGCAGGCAGGGCTATGAGAATCCACATTAAGGGGATAGAGGGTGGTCAACGATGGAAGGATGTGCTCAGAGGAATTAAGGGCCTCCCAGGCATTCATTTATTCAACCAACACTAACTGAACACCTATTATGTACGAGTCACTGTTCTAGGGGCTGACAACAGAGAGATGAACCAGACCCTCTAACCACATGCGGCCTGTATTCTAGTGGGGTGGCAGGCACTCAATAAATGCATACATGAACAATGTAATTCCTGGTCACCAGAGGGACTATGAAGCGATGATATGGTCTTACAAAGGGACAGAAAAATGGTGGTGGTGGGAGGTCGAGATCTGGAGGTAGATATTTCTAAGCAAAAGAAATAGCAAGTACAGAGGCCCAAAGGTGGGAACAAAGTGGCTGGGGAGTCTGTGAGGAGGACAGTGTGGCTGGAAAGCAGGAGATGAGCTGAGCAGAAGCCAGAACTCTTACAAACCTCTGACATTAGGTTTTCCCACCTGTGACAGAGATAATGATACTGTAAACCACTTTGTAGGGCTGTTGTGAGCATTAATGGACACATCAAACATTCAGCTCCATCCCAATTCTTGATAAACATTCCATAAATAGGATGATGGAGATGATTCCAGGGCATGGGAGCCAGCCTAGTCTTCTAATTTTTAAGCTGAGGCAAAACTGAGGCAGGGTCCCTGGGTGCAAAGAGTTAACAAGCTTGGCTGCTAATCAAAAGGTTAGCGGTTCAAATACACCCAGAGACACCTTGGAAGAAAGGACTGGTGATCCACTTCAAAAAATCAGCCATTAAAAATCCTGTGAAGCACAGTTCTGTTCTGACACACAGGCCTGTCAGGAATCAGAGTCAACTTGAGGGCAAGTGGTTTAAGACTGAAGCTGTCTGGAGACTTCCAGTAAGATGGAGGAACAGGCAGACAAGCTACACAGACCCTCTTCAACATAAGAAAGGAGAAACTAATTGACGGAGATACAGAGGATGATGATCCTGGAGCCCAGAGCTTTGAAAGGAACTATACAGAAGTGGATTAGGCACCAACTAGTGGAAAACCTGAATGAAAACAGTGACTACGGAGATGGTTGGAGCAGTGGACTGTCAGCTACTCTGACGGGACCATAAGCCTAAATATTTCCAAGTGGTATTGGGACCTGAGAAATGACATAAAGATCAGCCCTGGTCACCAAGGGCAGCAGGGATAACTGCACTGTTGGCCTATGACTAGGAAGGAAAACAGCAAGGAGGGAGATAGCCTGAGCTGTGGACGTTTGGCTGTCCGGAGGGTGCAGCCATTCTGAGTGTTTACAAACAGTGGCCATTTTGGATATTTAAAGTGACCAAGGGTGCACCCATTTTGAATCTTTACAAGCGGTAGCCATTTTGGATTTTAAAGTAACAGCATTCTCATTAGGATTCCAGGGACCTAAGAATAGGCTCCGTTTGCCAAGGACAGCAGGGACATATGGGAGGCTGACAACAGGAAAGGAGACAGGTAATGAGTGTGTAAGTACTACCAACTAGTGAATAGAGGAGCCCAGCACAGTACCCTGCTTATGTAGATAACAAACAAAACAAAGAATATGAAAATTGTGGGCAAGTCACTCCAACATACAATTGCCAATTAAATATAAACACAAAACATCACAATACCTCAGAGACAACAGAGCATCACAGTCCACAAAAAGCAGCAAGATAAAGCAGGAGAAACAAGGGACCAGGATACAGACCCAAAATATATCCCTGAGGAAGATGCAGCATTAGAACTCCCTGATGAGGAATTCAAAAGAATTATGTTTAGGTATCTTCAACGAAT